AGAACCCCTAATAACATCACCAACACCCCCAAATCGGCCCCCAATACCCCCATACACCACCCCAACACCCGCAAACCGCCCCCAACACCCTTACTAAACCCTCCATAATCCACTATATCACCCCTATACTCCAACCCATACCTGTGGCGCATCGCGTGCACGCGAGCTCCTCACGTGTGGCGCATAGCGCACGTGCAAGTATGCGCGCGCACGTGATGCGGCGCACCCCAATAAGTAGGGTAAAAAAAAAAAAATTGGAGAGGGCTGGCTGAGGTAGCTAATGGTGCCCCTCCCTCCTAAAATATCGAAGGGCACTGAAAAAAAATATTGGGCCCACGTATTCCTTGCTGAATAGTCCTTTTCCCGAAGGACCCCAGCAGTGCATCTGCAAGGGTCCCAACATCTCAAGAGACGTTCAGCAAAGTTCGTGTGAGAGCGGAGCAGGCCAGCAATATATGTTCTGGATCCGAAGTCAGGTCTGCTTTCCAGCAGTTATGGGTTACAAGTTACCACTACTTACTACCGTAGCTCTCTCTTTCTTTTGTTTCGTTTTCCTACGAGCAGTGTCCCTAAGGGCCTTGCTCCACTCATCACTACTTCACAAAAGACAAAACATATGGCAGTGTATGGTTCCATGTTCTAGCAGAAGATTCATTCCTCTCTTTCTTTTGTTTCCTTTTCCTATGAGCAGTGGCCCTAAGGGCCTTGTTCCACTCGTCACCACTTGCACAAAAGATAAAACATATGGCGACGTACAGTTCCATGTTCCAGCAGAAGATTCATTCTAGTTTTGCACATTTGGTGTGGCATACTGCGTAGCCACACGAGCCCTGCAGGGCCCGTCCTGCACTTTCAGCCTAAAAGCCTCGAAAATAGGGCTTAAAGCAGGGCTAAGCCGACAACCGGCCGGTCGGACCGGGCCAGTCCCAACCGGGCCGGTTGGACCCCCGGTGGTCCAACCGCAATTCCGGTTGGGCCCAAAAATGGGTCAATTTTTTTTTAAATTTTATTTTTTAAATCATGGTTGGACTGCGCTCGCCGAGATCTCCCCGAATCCGCACCGAAAACTTTGATCAGAGAACTTTTTTTTCAGGGGGGGGGGTTTCAGGGGTTTGGACTGTGCTCGCCGATCTCTCTCTCTCTCTCTCTCTCTCTCTCTCTCTCTCTCTCTCTCTCTCTCAATGCGCCGGGATGCCACGTGGTGTTCGCTGCCACGTGGCAGCGGCAGCAGCACGAGATGAAAAAAAAAAACAAAAAAAAAAACGATTCTCTCTCTCTGTCTCTCTCTCTCTCTCTCTCTCTCTCTCTCTCTCTCTC